CTAGAGGTCCAAAAGAAAAAGTGACAGAGTCTCTGTTCCTCTGTATGGCCCTCTTTTGAAAAAGGATGGCCAAGGGATGGGACTTTTGACCTTGCTACTATCTTACAGATTAAGGAATATATTTTCCACCCAGGACCACACGGACATCCGGACCAGGTGGCCTATGTAGTCACGTGGGAAGACTTGGCCCGGAACCCCACATCTTGGGCATGGCCGTTCCTACCTCCCCGGGGAACCAGGGAGACTGATCAGGGGACTCCTACTCCTTCTGCTCCCCCGAGTCTCACTTCCTCTCTCCTACCCCTTCAGTCTTCCCCTGAAAAGAAAAAGAAAAAGCCAGTCCTCCCTGAGGACCAAGCTTCCCTAACCCTCCTTGATCCTCCACCTCCCTATCCACCTGCACAGGCACCTCCACCCCAAGAACTACCTCATCCCTCTCCTGATTCCACCAAACCTGACCAATCCCCCCCTCCATCTAGCAGGCTTCGCCTGAGAAGGACAGAGGAGGCCCCTCTGATGGAACCGGGATTACCCAGGTCCTTCCTCTCTGAACTGTAGGGGATCAGATCCAATATTGGCCTTTTTCAGCCTCTGACTTGTATAATTGGAAGATCCATAACCCCTCTTTTTCTCAGGATCCCCAGGCTCTAGCTGCTTTAATTGAGTCTATTCTTCTTACCCACCAACCCACCTGGGATGATTGTCAACAACTTCTCCAGGCACTCCTAACCACAGAGGAGAGACAGCGAGTCATCCTAGAGGCCCGGGAAAATGTCCCCGGGCAGGATGGGAGACCCACTCTGCTCCCAAATGAAATAGACGCAGGATTTCCTCTGACCAGACCCAACTGGGACCCTGAAACTGTGGCTGGTAGGGAGCGTCTATGTCTTTATCGCCAGACTCTGTTAGCGGGTCTCAAAGGGGCCGGAAGGTACCCGACCAATTTGGCAAAGGTACGTGCTATAGCCCAAGGAGAAAATCAAACCCCCGCAGGGTTTCTAGAACTCCTGATAGAGGGATATTGGATGTACACCCCTTTTGATACCACAGTCCAGGAGCGTCAGGCAGATCTTATTATGGCCTTTATAGGACAATCAGCTCCTGACATCCGTGGTAAGCTCCAACGGCTGGAGGGCCTTCAGGGGTACTCTTTGCAGGATTTAGTAAGAGAAGCTGAGAAAATTTACAATAAGCGAGAGACATTAGAGGAAAGGGAAGACAGAATTAGAAAAGAACAGGAAGCCAGAGAGGATAAGAGAGAGAAAAAAGAGAAACAAAGAGTTGAGTCAAATTTTGGCCACAGTAGTTCAGGGAACAGGACCAGGTAGGGACCTGGGAGACAAAAGAAGACCCCGAGTGGACAAAGACCAATGTGCTTACTGCAAGGAGAAAGGACATTGGGCTCAAGAATGTCCGAAGAAGCTGAACAGACTTCAAAAGAAAACCCCAGTCCTGACTCTAGGGGACTAGGGAAGTCGGGGCCAGGAGCTCCCCT